CTCTGGATCCTTGGAATAAAGTTGTACCTGTTAAAGAGATATGTATGCACATTTGTATAAAATACACATTGCATTTGTGTTTGTAATGAAACTATTGGAGGGTAAAACACCTCCAGTGAAAGGACACAGGAGGAGATTTGCTCTCTGTTTCAGTCAGTGTCTTTACCTCTGGGCCTAATAGGTATAGATTATGCAAGTTCCTAATCCCCATTGGTTAATATGTTGAGATGAAGCTTGATCAGTAGTTAAAGGTTCATTAACTCCTAACACTGAGTGTTCAGTAGCTCTAGATAATCAGAATATACCTGTGGGAGACTGATAGGGTTGTTAATCAATACTAATTTCTCAGCAAGTTGAACAGAGGCAGACATTCTGCCTTTGTAAAATCACTGTAAAGATACCATCTCACATTTTCTAATACTTCAGTGATAAAGTAGCGTAAGAAGCCATGACAAAACAGTTATTGTACATTATTGTGTATTCTGTCTTCATTTAACATAATTAAATACTTGAAACTATTTTGAAAATCTAATTTATTTCGGCCCTTTATAGGCTACAGTAAACCGAAACAAATGGTAATTCAGTTTTCATGGAGGACATTTTGACATGCCACAGTGGGAAATACACAGGTGTAAAGAATTTAATGACGGCTGAATTTAGGTGCTTCAGTGGCTCTCTATCACACATTGTTTGTGTGACACTATGTTGGGACACTAGGACAGAGCCATCATTAATGTAACATCGGTGCTTTTACTTACATGACAAGTCAAAATGTCTGTGATAAGCATATAACAAATAATAACATTATGACCACCTGGAGGCCACACTGTGATGCACTGTGTGTTCTGACTCCTTTCTATCAGAACCAGCATTAACTGTTTCAGCAGTTTGAGCTACAGTAGCACGTCTGTTGGATTGGACCACACGGGCCAGCCTTCACTCCTCACGTACATCAGTGAGCTTTGGCCATCCATGACCCTGTCTCCGGTTCACTGCTTTTCCTTCCTTGGACCACTTTTGATATGTACTGACCTCTGTAACCCGGGAACACCCCACAAGAGCTGCAGTTCTCGCCCAGCTATATGACTTCAGAGAAAAGGGAATGGAGTATAAATGTTAATGCAAGTCTGCTCACCAATAGAGTGAGCAACTCACTGCCCCTTTAAGTATCAAATGAGAACACTATGGCTAACCATCGTCATTCTGTATTCATCTATTGACCAATATTTCATGAATCTCCATGTTTCCAACTATGAAGATCCCTTGGCCAGCAGTATCCATCCCTTAATGAACCATAAAGAATGTGTGATGGGAGTACATGAAGGCAAGTCTGGCTCACGGCACCCGAGGGGGACAGGCTGCTGTCAGGTCAGAGTACTAGTGGTTTCTTCACCTCATAAAAGCCTTGATGGCAGAGTTGACCCCTGATCAGCCCAAGACATTCTCCCACAACAATCTGGGTCAGGAGCAAAGTGGCAAAGAAGAAGAGAGAAAGAGAAGGAAGCCACTGGGGAAGAGCACAGGAGTACAAGAGTGTAAGAAGATAAGCTCACGTCAATATCCTGACAACATCCTTACATTGCTTGGATCAACAGAATATATTCAAGGGCAGGTTGAATGAATGGGCAAAATAAATGTGGGATACTGTGTGATGTACTGTTATAATTTATTGATGCTAAAATGCTACACATGGCACCTTCAACCATAAATATTGGGCAGTGAACAGTGCCATAACAAACTGGGATGTGAATAAGTAACAAGAAATAAATGTTTGCTGAACTCTCAGACCAACTAAGATGTTTCATAATTCATGTAAGTTAAAATATAATGAACAAACCAGGAGAGGCAATGTTGCATTCTTGTTTTTACTTATGAACGGAAACATATCAGAGTGCACATAACATTTGTTTGCGTTCTTCTCCTCTTGTATTTGACTGTGACTTCACAAACATGCTTTATTTGTTTTGGGATCTGAATATGCTCTTCATGCCATGTGTATGTCACAAAGGCCATCCTACAAAGAGAACTTTGCTCAATGTAGCCCCGATGACTGTAAACCCTGCCAATGAGAACATGTCTGGAGACACCTTTTCAATCGTGTTTGTTTCAGGACAGGGCAGATAATAGGTCAGATGGTTTTGAGAACCATCATGGGGTATAACAGGCATCAGATGACATAGAGAACTCTGTTGTCCCCTTTTTATTTCTCTCTATAGACAGAGCTCTGTTCCCTTTACTTATCTGATCCCTACCAAGGAGCAGCAGAGCAGACGAGGAGAGTCAGGGTCAGACTTTGACAGTCTTGAATAGAGGACACCAGTATACAGGGTTTGCCTCCCCCACAGTGGTTATTAAAATTATATCTGTATCATCACCACATCCCTTCAAATCCATCCACCTCCGCCTCTGAATCAGAAACTGGCTTAATACCAAGAAGCTGATGCACACTTTGGAAATTCAAAACGACCCACAACAAAGGTTGACCCATTAGAATCTGATCAGACATTTCTGTGCACCATTCTTCACTACACAACAGAGATGAATTTCTGTGGGGCATTATCTCCACAGTGCCATATCACATGACATAAAGCCAAGCCATGGCATCACTAACATCATTCAATTGACTTTTCAGATGTGGAATCCAGCTCTGTCTTATCGCTGAGTCTGATCTGGTGCTCGGTGGCTCAGAGGCAGTCGAGGCATTCTGAGGTTATCTGCTCCGTCTCTCTCACAGCGAGAGCAGCCAGACACTTACTGCATTGTTGGAGCAGAGAGACTCAGAAGTTGGATAGAGAGAGGCAGAAGTTGGCATGCTGTGAAACTGGCTCTTTGTTTGTATGCATCCCTCTAAAGAACTACAGACTTGGCCACTGTTAGAAACTGAACTCAGTCCATTGAAGACTTGATGAGCTGACATTCATTTAATTCAACCTGGGATTTGTCACAAACTGGGTTAAAGAGTTTAGCTCTTAAAGTAACTGGATGTTTTATTTGATGCATCGCACCACATTCTGGCCATGATGAACTCCTACTTCTAATATTGTCAGACTTTCTCATGCAGTAACCATATGCAGATGAGACTTTGGGGAAAGTGTGGAATAGCCATTGTCGAACACCAATCCCTTCCAAAGTAACATAGAGGAAAGAGGTGCCAACACTGCTCTCTGCTGATTGTGTATGATCACTACAAGAGTCCTGCTTACAGCTGCATTACATGTTGTCAACCAGCAGATGGCAGGATGCAACAGTGTCTACTGGACTGTTCAAATGGAATAATCTGCCTTGTCTATTGAGAATGTATCTACAAAGCATACAACATCTCTACTTAAAAAATGTGCATAATAAACAGACTCATGAGTATACAATTATGACAATTTATACATGTTTGCTGAATAAAACATGGAAATAGTCAGTGCTGGAAGAAGTCCTCAAATATCTTACTTCCGTAATCATCGTTATTGGATTAATACTGATGCCACACTGAGTTAGTAGCACTTTACTGATGTAGCTGGTTGTGGAGGAGCTAGTTGTAACTACTTCATACACAGTTAACCAGCTTAGTCCAGTGGCTGATCCCCCTCCAACGGTCACAAGGTAAATTTGGTGGACGTGAGATTATTTAATGAAACAGGAAATTCTGCTGTGCAAATCAGATCGTGGATCTTATATTGGACAATTTGACCTCTTTTGTGCCTTGAACAGTTCTATAAAAGGAACCATCAGACAAGTTTAAAGCTAACAACTCAGAGACATCCTAAATGTGAGAAGTGGTTGCCCCCTATGCTGAAGTGGAGTAGAAATATAAATTGCATGAAATGCATATGCACAAGTAAAGTACAAGAACCTTAAAACCGTATTATTATTAACCTCATTTAATCCACCTGTCATATAATAGAAAGCCTAATTACTGTAAGTTGATTTAGCCACTTTTGGATTTTTTGGCATTTTTCATTATTGGTGAAGCTCCATTCTACACAGCCACTGACATTGATTACAATTAATTACTGACTAAACTGCAACATTACAGCCATGTAAAATCTGCAGGACATGCAATAACCTGTGGCAATAAACCAATAAGGGGAGTCGTCGTGAGTGCTTGCTTTTTTAACTCGACATGCCAATAAATCAATGCCACACACCACATCCATTCATCACTATCATAATTCTTCACTTGGAATGTTGTCATCAGGTTGAATCTGATGCCTCATTGAGTAAGCTAAAAGATGGAAACATCAATAGAAGTGCACAAAAACACAGAGCTGTATTAAACCCAATGAGTTGTGTAAGTAGGTTCATTCCTGCTTGCTGTATTTCTGTATCGATTGCTCTACATAACTCAGTCCACAATGTGCAGGAACTATTTTAGCTACAGTTTTTTGGTATAGTTAGTATGTAAGTTTGGTTTTGCCTATAGGATGTAATATTTTGATATTCTTGTATGATTCTCTTTTCCTCTTGGCAAGGACAGACTCTGATCAGAAGCCATTCATCTCTACATTGCTAGCTGAGACAAACAGGAAACTGACACTTCTCTCACCCTACTACTCTTTGTAATGAAGTCATCCAATGACACAGAGACAGAGTTAGGATCCTCCCGAGCCCCGATGAGTGCATGGATGGCTGTATAACAGTGTACAATGGGCATGAAAAAGAGAAAATCTCCCAAGAGAAAGCCTATTGAAACCCCAGAGGGCCTAGAAAGTGAGCTTTCTGCATTATTATTCCAACACGATGCAATTCAAGTATCCTGGAAAGTGTCACCAAATGGCACACGAGTTCACACCCCACCAGGATGGGCGCTAAGCTTGTGCTAATTGAGAGTGTGTAACACAGATGCTCTCCTCCGGGTTAGGGGGAAAGCAGAGTGTGATGACGCAAGCTGTTTCCCACATTTTCTCAAAATAATCCTGCAGATCTTCGGCAGAGCCATCATTTTTGAAAGACCCTCTGTCCACTGACTGCCTACTTAGAAAAGGAATGATGAGGATTACAGATGAATAAACAGATGAATTAGAATTTTATTACCATCAAAGTCATCAACTCAGTCAAGGAGTACAGTACAGAGCTCACAAATGCAAGACAGGACCTACAGGTGACCACTGGTCCTGGCAAACATCACATCTACAAGTACACCTGTAAGTGCATGGCAAAATGAACAGACATGGAATACTAAATACAGTGAGAAATGTATTGGAAAAAAGCATTGCTTTAAACTGTGTAACAGTATTTAAACAGTATTTATTTGCCATCTAAACAAAGAGAACGGACTACATTAAATAATCTATTCACATAAAAAATCTCTCATCTGTTTAAGCCTCTCGTTAAAATCTAAATATTTATCTTAAACAATGTAAGAAATAATATAATGGTATACTCTGAATGATCGGTGTGTCTACGAATCTATCGTAGCGCAAATTAAATGAAGATACATGTATAAATAAAAGACTCTGCAGCAACAAAGTCAAACTTATACGAATAATAATATGATCAGTTTCCTCCGGAGCCCATTTTTATCGGAAATGCACATTTTCATATAAATTCACAGGTGTTCACAGTAAATACTCTTGACAACAGACTAGGTAGAGTCAGACAAAGTGGCTGTGCACGAGCCATAACATATTATACTTTATTCATATTATCTAATAATCGTACTGCCAATGTTACTGCTGTCTTTATGTGACCAGGGAATGGTTCAGTGTGTGTTAGCACAGGAAATCATGTGGGCACTCACAGGCCAAAGGAGCAAATATGGTCTTATTCGTCCTCCCCCACACCCACTTATCTGACAGCAGCCTTGTGTTAGTTAAGTGGCCCTGATGGGCCTGACAGTTGGCAAGGACTATAGACTTCTACTCACAGGTACATGGACTGTATCGAAAGGACACCAGGAATCACAGTTTCTGCAGCCAGTCGAATATTGCTCAATTTCCTCTAGAGTGATTACAGAGAACTCCTTCTGTAGCTCATTATTAATGCTCGAGGGGACCAGTGGCTGGAAAGGATAGATTGTTATTACTGTTTAGTCAAGTATAAGCTGAAAAATCTATGGAATAAACAAATGACTTAAAGAGTTGAAAAACAATCAACAACAAAAAAAACAAGGCAAAAAGATTTAAAAAAAAAAAGAAAAATACAAAATCTAAATAAATAAACATTAAGTTGAGAAATGTTAAACATATGCTTCATACAATTTTTTTCAGTACAATACAGGTCAGCAAAGCTGAGTTGGCAAAGGTGACTCTAGTTACTACAAAGTCAAAATGATGCATGTCTTCCTTTAAAAGCCGCATGTGGTCAGTTAATGCACATTTTGTTTTACAGTTTACAACCAAATATTAAGACATATATGGCATCTGAGTCAATATCCTTACACAGAGGACACAAGTAAACCAAAGTAGATACAAGGAGACTGAGATCTAGCAAGAAAACAAAACAATTTCTGTCACGTAATGGATTAAGAAGTGACGTTTCTAAAAAAGAAAGCTACAAATTAATTTGGATGCATAGAACTGCTATGTAATGAAGACATTAATCATATGACTTACACTGATGCTAAGGGGCACTAAATGAACAGTAGTTATAGACAGCATAATGTATAGTGTGCTTTTGAAAAGAACATTAGCCTGGACAAGGCTTGTGGCAAGAGGCGAGGGTGCTGTGGCCTACGATTAAACGAGGTTGGCAGTAGCGCATCTTTATCCACCAAGTGGCTGTAAATGTAAAAGGAACAGCAGAAAGTGAGAATGCATGCTGTTTTGGCTACTTCTACAAAGGTCTCTATATACAGAATCTTTACACTTACAGCTATGAGGTTCTTTCCTGAGCAGGAAGTTAGCAAAGGAACATAGTGTTTGTGTGTGTGCTTATGTGTGAAGCTGCCTTGTTCAAAATACAGCACTGGGCATAATAACTCCCAGTCACCAATCTCAGCATTGTTTAATGCACAATACCTGCTTAGTGTAGACAATAACAGATCAGAAAGATAACCATATTCTCCCTGTGAGAGGAATAGGTGATCTTCTCCGTGTGTGGACCAGCACTTACTGAGTATTACGGTACAAGGTCAAAATTTCAGGAGCAAAACTTTTCTAATGATTTAAAGAACAAATACTGTAATTGCAGGAATGGCAGAAAGAAGTTTCCCAAGTTGGCTCATTAAAAAGAAATCAAAGCCGTTTTCAGCACAATTATGTCTTCATATATTCTCTTATCACTAAGAGAAGAATCAGAAAGAAGACTTTAGCTGTAAGCCACAGTTTGACAGCAAATCTGTTTTTGCCCCTAAAACTGAAGTGTGCGGTGATAGACATGGTTTATATTATCTGACATAAAACACCGGAGGGTCAGTGAAAAAACACAATACAAGTAAAAAGAAAGCCAACGCAGCACTCAGGAAAAGGTAGCACACAGCCTCCATGAGATGATACTAATGCTGCAAGTGAGAGAGAAGCAGAGTCAGTGTCACCATGCTAGCAGCTAATGTACAGTGTGCAGGAGTTGGTGGGGACTGCAGAGGTCACACAGGGAAGGGTTGGGGGGGGGGGGTCTAACCCTGCTCGTCCCCAGCATTGGTGGCTGCGTGGAGAGCAGTTGAAGCTTCTCCATTACAGCGCGATGTGGGCTCAGCCTCCTGCAGCGCCGGGCTTGGCTGCTGTGGCTCAGCGGCCAAAGCTGCCACCCCGGCTCCGTCCTCGGGCACCAGTTGGCCTATCTCCGCTCCAGCGGGGAGCTCTGTGACGACAGCGGGCGCTCCCTCGGGTGTTGCGGCAGAAGAAGGTGCAGAGGGGTCATTGGCAGCCTGGGGAGCTGCGGTGTCTGCTGGGGCACCGGCTGCAGGGCTGGTTGCCCTCGAGTCACTCTGCTCAGGTGCTCTCAGTCTCTTCATGATGGTGGTGACCCGCACAGCTTTCTGTAGGAGGAGGGATAACAAACTGAACTCAAATAGGTGCCTGAAAACTTGCTCAGAGAACAGACAACTCTCATCGGACCACCTTAATTCTTACACAATACTGCGCTACTTCCCTGTTCAAGGACCGTTCAACTGCTGTTCAACTTCCTGGAAGCAAGAACAAAAGGGCTTACCTTCCATTTAGCTCTGGCAAAGTTCTTCTCTATTTGTGCACACACATTTTCCTTGATGTTCTTATCTGAAGCTGCACCGCCAGAGATCCTGTTGTACAAAATAGGAAAAACACAACTTCACAACAGAGCTTTACAGTTCCCCTATCTTTGGATTACAGGCACACAGTATTACAATTTGTTGTTCATTTTATTGACTGACAAACTTTTGCAGCAACTGTTTAACCTTTAAGGGTTATGTTGGTCATTTTTCTCCTAGTTTTTGCCGCAGCGACAATTGATTTGTGTTAAAAATTGACAGTTCGCTGAAAGTGTCTCTGTCGGCTGCACCTAAATGCCACTTGTGAAGAAAACAAAGTGTGAAAACAATGCGATAATGTGAAAGGGGTCACCTGTAGTGATGAACCTTCAAATAATTATCATCTAAATCTGCAACATGGCCTTACAAGTTTTATAGCGAGTTTCAGCATATTGTTTAGATGTCCAACTTGCAACTTTACTGTTGTCAGCCAAAGCAACCAGCTTTCACCCAGGAGGCCACTGTCCCATGTGAAATCAAAAGCCAATGTTCACTTGCACACATAATTTAAGTCATGATCATTTCCAAATGAATGATAATGTTGCTCAGTAACTGCTGGATGTGTAAATAAGCAATTGTTTTCCATATCAGCCTAAAGGTGATGATATGTTGCAACTTGTTCCCACTGCCACCCAGTGGCCAAAAAATCAGCTATTGCAGGTTTCAGTGTGTTAGAATTCCAATACGTGCTGATTACTAAACAATGGCAATGTCATTAGTTTTTTCAGGTATTTGGACAAAGTGAAATTTTGGACTGATGATGGCACTAGATAAAACGTAAAGGAATCACACAGTTATTATAAATCACCCTCAATGTGGAAATCCATATCAAATTTAATGGCAATCCACCAAATATTTGTCAGGATATAAAGTAAATATTACTGGATCAGTCAGTAGAATAAATTATCTGGAAATCATGAATCTGTACTAAAGTTTGTGCCAATCCACCCAATATTTGTTTCAGATATTTCAGACTGCCTATGTGGCAAGCAGCTTTGGCTTTTTGTTAAGTAAAGCATCAATATTGTTGTTACGGTACTGAGCACTGATTCAGAATATAGATTTTGGAAGTTCCTCAATGTCAAACAAGAAAGTCTGCTCTTTTGGAGCTGGTGCGATCACATTAACACAGGTTGATTACACTACTCTGGTTTAAATGGGCTGTACAATATATCAAAGCTGCCTACCATTCATGGTTTATAGCCTCCTGAGCTGTCAGTCTCTGGTCTTGATCCACCTCCATCAGACGAGCAACCAGACTCTTAGCTGTCAGAAAAATCACACAGAAGAAACTCAACACAGAAGAAACTCCTGATGGATGGGAACATAAACATGATGTGTGTTTGACCGCGCGAGAGGTAAGAAGGGAGACATTTTCAATTTTGAATGTTTACCCTTCGTGTTCCTTCCCAGCGTTAACTTTATGCTAAAACTACCTGAATCAGAGATCTCATCCCAGTACGGAGAGTCAAACTCATAATCTCCTGCCAGGATCTTTCGAAACAGGTTCTTGTCATGGTTTTCATAGTCATCGTCATCGGTTTCATCGTAGAAAGGAGGGTTGCCTGACAGCCTGAGGTAGCAAAGATCAAAAAGTAAAAAAACATCTACAGACCCTATTTAAACTAGGTATATTATTTAATATCACATAAAATAAAATCTTTACCAATATCAATCAAGTCTGAAGATGTTACCATCAAAATGATTCAACATGCCACCTAGTGACTTTTAATGAGGTGTAAAGCTTTAGAAAAAAACACCCCTACCTTATGTTCAGAATAATAATTAATTCTAACTTACAGTATGTACATGATGACACCTGTTGCCCAGCAGTCCACAGGCCTGCCATATCGCTGTCTGCCAACCACCTCTGGAGCTGCAGAAGAGCACAGAAACTTCATAAAAATCTTCATCTTCCACATCGCCATTAATCTGGCTGCATAACAATGTCTTATTTGCCATTTGGTACATTTAAATTCTCACCCAGGTACTCCGGTGTCCCACAGGGGTCTTTGATTAGTCCGTTCTCCAGCTTGGCAAGATGGAAGTCGCTGATGACTATTTTAGAGTGCTTCAGGCGGTTGTAATAAACCAAGTTCTCCAACTAAAAAATAGTGAATTGCAGTGTCAACAGTTAATTTAACATTCATGCTCAAGGTCTTTCATTTTCATGGTTAATCATCTCGTGGAAGTTTAGAAGGTTGAATTTAAGTTGTGAGAGCAGAAATATGATGAGAAGACTGAAAACATCTAAAAGTTTAATTATCCAGTGCAAATTAAAACAAATCAAATCAAATGAGAGACCTTGAGTTTAATTTAGTCATTTTCTCATGATTGGATTAATTCCTCAACCAAGTTTGACGTATTTCCACTTGAGAAATGTATTGATTTTCATTTAAACTGACAGTCCCATATGGGGAGATTTGAGAGGTATCGAGGTGGAGAAGCTAATCAAACTATAGTTAGTAATCATTTGGCAACCACCTTTTCCTCTATTACTGGTCTGTTGCCTTGAATTTGCATATACTAACAAGACTAAGAGCTCTATTTTCGTGAAAACTGTGGCACAGCGCAGATCGCATTGCACCCTGCCCAGTGCATTGTGCCGATCACACTTTGCAATTATTGTGGCCAGGCTCACCTGGTGCATCTGTGGTGCACTTGGATATGGGGTGGCATCAGAAAGAATATATTATCTTTCATCCACTTTAAGCACAGGCCTCTACCCTCCATGACACATGTGACACACTGACAGTCTGGGAATCCTGTGGGGAGTTTTCCTCAGAGGAAACTTATTGTTGTCTCTTACGTTCAGAGCAGCAGCTCAAATAGTACCTCAAATAATCAGATGAAGCGCATCATTTTCTAAAAAAGACTGAAACAAATCTCCAGACAGCTAGCGAGCCAACAGCACAGCGCAGGCAGCCATCACAGCACGACACTGGCTTTGCTCTGCTAATCTAAACCATCAGCCATATGTACTATGGGCAAGTTTGCTCAGTTGGATTGAAGTGAAATAAATTTTGTGGAGCAGAGGCTTGTGCTGCTTCTTCAGAGGTTCTTTTCTTTGGAACAGCTGATAACAGCTTGTCTACCACTGTAGAGTGTTACCTTGAGGTTTCTGTGAACAATATGCAGGGAGTGGAGGTAGGCAACAGCCTCCAACACCTGGCGCACCACGTTGCTGGTGTCTCTCTCTGAGTAGTAGCCTTGGTCCAGGATCCAGTCAAACACCTCTCTGCCTGTTGCACTGTGGAAAATGAAGATCCGTAATGTGTTATAACTCTGTTGTTGAAAGATATGAATGTAATTGTATCTCAGCATTAGAAGATTTGCACTGTATAACTGCACTGTTATCGGTTTAAATCTGACTGGGAACCTTTCATTCTCCATTCTCTTCCAATCTTTCCATCTGCTCTCTGTCAATCATTCAGGCAAATACAAAGGCAAAAAACATCTGCAACATAGAAACCTCTAATTGGAATGTTACATTGTATATTTATAGTCAAATGTAAATTACATTGTTCCAAGAATAAACATTTTTGACAAGATTACATAGCACACCCCACCTGTTAAATGTAAATGGTTTTAATCATTTCCCCATAGATGTTACTTTGTGTTTGATCATTTTCTTTCTAATCAGAATTCCTAAACCCACTAATCAGGTGTCCTCGAAGGACGAAGCGACTATCATGCATTTAGCATATCCATGGAAATGTATCAAATTCCCCAAGAACACATGCTGCTGAGAATGGAGCAGCTAGCAAGCAATCATATCTGAATACCAAATGAGTGAAGGTTCAGAGCCGTTCTCATATCTACCAGGCCTCAGGCTACAACAGCTCATTCCCCACAAGTGTATAATCAACACATACAGTTCAGCAGGCCCTAGCGACTGTAAAGACAAGTAGAGAGCCTTTTCCCCCGGCTCATCAGACATCTGAACTCACAGTTCAAGGAAGAGGAAGTACTCCTTTTTGGTCTCAAAGACGTCCACCATTTGGAGAATATTGGGATGCTTCACCCTAAGGAGATGTGACACAAAGCACAAGACAGAGCAAGAAACACAAAGACAGAGAAAATGAGGTCAGGAGTCAGATAGGAGATGACGTCTGCATCATTCATTCAGTTGGAGGAATAATGCAAAGACCAGCTATATTGCTCATGAATAACACTCAATAGTAAACTGAGAGAGCGAGCAACCATGAAGAAAGCAAAATGTAACTGCAAAACAGACTTTACTGCCCACCCATAGATAACCAGATTTATGTAATCTGCTGCAACCGCAACAGCATGGTGCTGAGCAGCTGACCATGCTTTGACAACCACAGCTCCAGATGGACAACTTCATGGTGAATTTGGCCAATAAAGCTATATTTCCTTTCAATTCCCAGGGAGTTGATTCAGTACTCCCTGTTGCCTTCATTTGTTCTACATATGGAACAGGGTCAAAAAGGTCTAAAGCAGTGAAATCGCTTCCTCATTCATTTAAGATTCAATAGGCTACTCAATGAATAAATGGAAAATGTATGCGTTATTATCGTTTTGCGTCAGCACTGACAATTTATATGTCAGGTCAAGGAAAAGCACTGAATTATGTGATTTTTACTAAAACGTAGTGCACATCCTTTGTTCCATTGTGGGGGAAAGGACATACATATAATGTTTGAATAAAAATTTTGAACACTGCAATAAAAGTGAATGTAGTCCAGCAGGTAGGAAATGTGAAGATATTTTTTTGTAACAACATAAAGGAGTGATATTAGGGAGTGGAGTCATTTTTGCAAACGCACAAGTGTACCTCCCTTCAATATGATTGGTCTATTAATTTAACTGTTACCAGTACAAAATATGTTTTGCACAGAACATTAAAGAGCCCCTCAGACTTTCAGACATAAAAATACTTTAAAAAGAATTCCTGTCTGTGATGTGTGTGTTTCACAAAAAACTTCTATTACCTCATTAAAAATTCCTACAATGACATCTACTCTACTCAGTTATTTAAAAAGTCTAGAATCTATAAATATCTAAATTATTGTTCATTTAAAGATATCGTCTGAAGTTTTGCCAGCAATTATTCGCAGCCTTTGACATGTCATCATATTTGATTAGGTTTTTTACTGGAAAAAGCGATAATCACAGAGAAATATGAGAAAATATGTGTCAGATAGAACAAGGAGCTCAGAAACAGTGGCTGTGTGTGATCAGATGAGGTTGGCTTGACTTGTTTATAAAGCAACCCCATAGATTTGTTGCTTGTTCTGGTTTTCTTTTCAAAAATTGCTGTTATCTGTGAAATTAGCTTTTAAAAGGATGAAATAGGGAAAACAAAAAACAAAGAACATGACAATCTCATCACAAAACTAATCATGCACTATTTAACACATTTAGACCCCAGAGAACATTAACCACACTGAACAACCTACATCTTTAAGATGAGGATCTCATTTTTCGCAGCCTTGCGGACTTTCCTTCCATCCTTTTTCAGGAACTTTTTACACGTGTACATTTTCATCGTAGTTTTGTCTTTGGCCCTGAATATCTCACAGAACTCCTCCCTGAAAAGAAGCATTTTATGACATTTCAGGTTTATTTTCAGGGCCATAGAGTAAGCACAGGTCATAATTTTTTTTTGAGAAAAGTTAAGCATCATTCCTCTGTAAATTGATACTCACGATTTAACAATCTGACCCAGGTCATATTTATCTGTCACGTCCGAAGGATTGTTATAATCCTTCTTCTCCCCAATTGTTAAACAGCCAAATGGCATGGCCACTGCTGACCTGTGGTAAGAGAAACAGAAGGAGAGACAGAGGAGGGAGAGAATGAAACTAATAAGAAGACACATATCACACTTTCATCCATTTATCTTCTGTCATGTAGTGTCTCACCTAGATGATGATTTCTCTTCGATTTGGCATCACACTGTGCCATAATATTACACTAAATGATGACTTGGCAAAAAATGTGACCCTCCCTCAGTAATAAAGAATTACTTCAATAATGCTGAGGAAGCTTTTCAAAGGGTGAGAGCTAAAGAGCCACCAGAGGCTGTATCAATGCAGCAGATTGTTTCAGTAACTGTAACAGAGCCTTTCATGATCCTGCATTAATAAAGGGAAGAGCCATAGTAGGCTCAGCTTTATGCTTTATATAAGTAATAAAACAACCAGGGGAATGTTTTTGCAGTGAAGCAGAAGTCTGGACTGAATGTGCTCTGTGGGGTGAAAGTTGCAAACCATAGGGGTCAGGGAGCAGAAGGAACAGCGGCTAATATGAGCCGAGAGCCCGGCAAGGCAACAGCAGCAACAAGTGAAGCATTTCCAATCAAGAAAGGGAGCCAGCAATTACCGGCACAGCAGCCCAGGACTCCGAGAGGAATTAAAGTACTTTACAAGCTAATTGCGATGCAGCCTCTCTGTGTCTCTGTCAAGCAGCATGGAGTGAAACCAGAACAGCCTTTGCAACTTTACTGCATGTTTTTTTTACTGAGAAAGGTTTTATAGTCAGCTTAGTTGGAGTTGCTATTTTTGTGTTTCATGGGAAGAGAAGGGATGGTTTCTTTTTTGTATTTCTCCCCCTGCTGTACAGTCAGGAACAGAGATATTACAGGGAATTAGCTGTTTTTGGAGTGAGAAACAATAAAACATTCATGCTCCCCTGCAATTAAGACAGTGTGTGTGTGTGTGTGTGTGTGTGTGTGTGTGTGTGTGTGTAGTGTAGCTGAAATCTAAAATCTATACATTTGGAATCTACAGTCCCACTGTGGTATACAGTTATATATCAGCTGATTTATTAAATTTTTTTTATAAAAATCCCTTCAAGGTCCAGTTTGTCACATTTAGGAGGGGAAAAAAATCACCTGAAAATAAGAATAGTTGTGTTTTCGTTACCTCCAAATGAGACATTTTTATCTACAGAGGGAGTGGGTCATATTCTACAGGGGACGCCATGTTGAACCTCCATGTTTCTACGGCCCAAAACGGACAAACCAAATGCCATCATTTCTCCTTCAAGCTTGGTTGAGTCAGGATGCAATCTCTGTGCTAGATGTCACTAAATCCTACATACTGGTCCTTCAAATGAATCAGATATGTACCAAATGCCAAAAATGTAACTACAGCAGCTATAGGACACAACATGGTGCAGTGTTGGGGAGTAGTGGTGCTACATGTAGCAATACTACTACTGTATACCACATTTCTCTGTGGCTGTTAGGTAGCTTAGCTATGCGCCAATCATGTTTTCAGTAGCAAGCTATGTTTGCTATAAGTGAAACAACCAAATGTTATGTTGCTACATTTAATTTTCATTTGATGATTAAAGATATCAGATTAAATTGAAATACATTGCTGCACAGATACTGTATCAGCATGGATTCAGCACCAGGAGTTCCACGTCTTCTGACTCAGGACAGAATCAATCAAGCAGTCTGGTTTAACAGAATGAAGCACAGAGAGAGTGCTACAGCAATAACTGGCTTCTAAATGTGATTGATTTAAAAGGAAATAGCTTGCAAGAGGGATCAGTTACAACAAGTATCCCTGGACAGTTTCAGGAAATCTAGAGGGAAAACAGTTGTTGCCTCTACCACTGATGTGTCCTTGATCAAGGCACTACACTACTTATTACTCCAGTAATGCTGCTCAGGGACCTACGGTAACACTGCAGCCTTACTGACAAGCTCTGAACTGGTGTGAATATTCTGTATTGGAAGCTGCTTCAATATAAAGCAGGGCAGTGCTGAAAAATGATTGTGCAGCAAAATTTCTCCAGATGAATAAAGCCTGAAAAAATATTTATTTCCAAGCCACACAACATCCATCTGCGCTGACAGTCTGGGTGATGGATGTCCACATGTAAATGAGCGCAGCCAGCATGAGAAGTATAGCGTTATGTGTAAGAAGGGCAATCTGTCCACTGTAGCTCCGTGAACCGACTCGTAATCCAATCTAAATGAACGAGGCTCAGCACGTCTCAAATTGCCGAGAGAAAACCGTGCTCTCTCTGAACCTGTGTGCTGTGAAGTCAGTGTGAGGGGCTGACCTTTCCTGGCTACCTATCGCTCGCTTTCACTCTCAATGCACTGTACATGTCTCCCCGTGGTAAACGCTTTGTCTCAGTGAAGTTATGCTGCAAAGAAGAAAGGAAAGTTCTGCAGGGCCAAGGCATTAGGAAGCATGTCAGGAAAAATCTATATTATGCTAGAAAACATTTTTATTCTGCAAGTTGCTATAACAGTCCACAAGAGAGTCATTGCATTGCAGAGAGTGAAATAGACTGGAGAAAAAGAGAGTGAAAGAGCAATTCGGATGACGATAAAATCTAATAAATCTAGGTAATAAATGGAGCCTTTGGTTTTGGAAAAGCTTTCTGAGCCCAGACAGTGGCAAACACAATCTGAAGGCAGATTAGTTCATTAAAAACCTAAAAGTACTTCCTCAAAGTATCTTGGTACGCCTCTCCCATTTTCCCAAAGTGTGACTTCCTGTGATGGATGAAGAATTTGTGAAGCATTTCAAGTGGAATGAGCAGGAAGCTTGCAGTATCATATAACAGAGGCTGCATAATGGGCCCATTTGGACTGACCACCATCAGCAATATTCAAGCATTATCGCCCCATATTCCGACTGTTATCAGCCCTTCAGGAGCACCAATCGATGGCTCGCAATGCTTTATGGTCCAGAGTGAGACCTGGGGGGGCCACCGTGCTATATCACCACAGATTTTCTGTAGATGCAGTGAAGATTTACAGGACAGAAGATGGATAAGGATAAAGATCTTGGGGTTGTTAGGCCAGCGCAGTGCCTCCTCCAGCCAGGCGAGCTGATGAGCAAATTAAGTTTTTGTGCCGGTTGAAATCTATGAGAAACTCTTGTAGCGCTTGTGTCTGGGTGAAGTTTAGGATTAGGCTAAATGCAGCGCTTATGTGCACGGTGTCAAGACTTTTTAACTTAAGTAAGGGGGATTATTTTACCTGCTGGTGGTATAAGGCTGGTCTACGCCTCGGGGAAATGGCTGTTATCTATTTGGTATGGTAAGCCTTTACGTACATGAGTGAGCAGCTGTTTGCACTAATCCCACCATGAAATTCCCCAGAGACGGAGAAGTGTTTCCTTGTTTTGGGAAAAATCTTTCATTTACTGTTTAGTTTTCAACTGTGTCTCTGTCCTTCTTTCACCTCTTCCCACATACTCTCCCTCTGGCTCAGCAGCCACTTAATGAGGATGCACAGAGTTCCGACCCTATACATCACAGTTGTGCTGACTGTAGGCCATTACAGATTTACTGAAGTGAACGTAAGCAGTGCTGAGCCTCAGCTGTTATGTACAAATTACATTTTACATAGACAACATTCACCTAAGCAAGATAAACAGCACAAGAAAAAATATGATCAAATAAGCTATGTGAACAATACATAATTCTGATGGATTATATACTCCTAATGTTGCCAAATACTCTAGAGGAAACTGCTGGGTTATGTTCAGTTGCAACCTGTTTTCCAAACCAGAAAGTGTGAGATTCTTACTACTCTAAAATAGAGGATGTCAGGGTGGATGGTTGGGCATATAAAGCAAAGTTTGACATGGACATGAAGCCTCCAACATCTTGTTAAGTTCAGGCTAGAACACAGATTGCGTAAAAAAGATGATTAAAAGACATCACCTGTACAAATTCTGCATGCTGTTTTGTTATCTGAATAGATCTTTATAACTTAAATGTTGTACCCACACAAATCAGATCATCCAAAAAAAGGTGCACTAATCAATATTTTTATAATAACAATGGATCAAAAGACTATGTGTAATGTGAAAGGTGTCATTTGTAGTGGCAAAGCCACAAAGAATTATCACCCACCTCTGGAGTTACCCTTTAGCTCTACAAAGCGTTTTAACAGCTGTTTTTATGACCCCAAACTTTACTGTTTTGGTACTCTCACCATCAACCCAGTTTCCAGCAAAAAAGCCCTGATAGGCCCATTATATGCCACCTGCTCAGCACAGAATAACAGAAAGACAAAGTTGGAAACTAGCTGGTGAACATAATGGAGCATTAAGCATCTAAAGAGACAGATATTTTCTTCAGCAGAAACAAAGTGAGGAGTAAATATTGCACTTATATTTATCAGGCAGCCAGAAGCACAACTCCAAATGAATGCTAACATTGTTCTGTATCTGTTGAATGTGTGAGTACAGTTGTTATACAGCTCACAAGTGGACAAAGAGATTAATGGATGCAGGTTCTGGTCGCCATTTTTCCCACCCCACTCTATATATCTGTCTCTCTAGAGAGAGAGAACGACCGCTTTAAACATATCAGACTTTTCTGGGCCCTTAAACTACTCAAAGTGAAAGTGTGCTTTCATATGCAAAACCAACCACTGCAATCACAAATCTGACATTCAACGTTCTTATGGGATCTTTGCTTTAATCAGGTTATCAGGAAGTGGTATTAATAATTGGTAAAAACATTAAAACTTGACAGTTCCACACAGTACTGTTGTGTGTTGTTTCCCTGGGGTACAAATCCATTCTTGAGTGTTTTGGACAAACTAGTAATTCTTTTTTGACAGGGCTCAGCTTAGCCATCTAAAATATCATCTCTCCCCGTCTCTCTGTCACTCAGTCTTTCCCTCTGTTCCTGGGGATTTGTTGGAGCCTCAGCCCCACAAGGACAGACTCTCCGGCTATTAGGAAAAAACATCCTTGACATTCATTTTCTTTCATCCCTGCTGATCTCTTGAGATTGCCCAAGAGACTGTGATAGCACTCTGCCTTCAACT